TAGTCATTTAAGATGTCTCTGAAACGCTGAACGCGTCGATCTCTGAAACTATTGACTCGAAATCGATGGCTTCCTGAAATTACCGAAACCGCTTTCCTGCTCTCGGCGTCAACGTCGGCCGATGATTGCTTAGAGTGAGGATTTGCATGCCACCATAATTAGGAAATTGGAGTCTGTTTCAAGAGGACTCTTCAAACATTGCTATACATTTTTCCCGTTGCATTTTTTTTGCATCGAACCAGCTTTACACACTATAATGCTATAAATCCCAGGAATAGTTTAGAAGGTAACATTTTTGAGTTATTGCTGTTACAATAATTTTGCGGAGAATTTTTAAAACATATCTGATACAAACTGAACGATATTAACTAAAGCAATTGGTTATTGCCCTCTATTCTATTTGTTTTCATTAGTTTTTCAATTCCAAAACTTCTGTTCGTCAGAAGCTTCGATTTGCGTTAATAACTCGACGAGGAGAGCCCGACTTATCGAATATGAATGCTCTAAAAGTTTAAAAGCGACTAACAGTTATTTTGAGCGGTATTTGTATAGAATACTCAGCGACGATATCTCACAAAGTCATCGGATTTTTGGAAGGTCATAGAGAAGGATAAAAATGTTTGTCAACCTTTCTCCTTTCTCGTCTTTGCTTCGATGCCATGTTTAATGAAGATATTTTCACCATCTGCTCTACATCTACAGATAGAATTAAGTGATACATGGTATTAGTTATTTATGACTGAAGGAAAAATTGAATAATAAGTTAAATAAATAAGAAAGAAATCCTACAGAGAATCTTTCAGCTGCGAGTACCTGCCATTGTTATTGACGCTACACTAGCGTAGAAACAGATGAGACTGGTTGGAAACAATTGCTTGACTTTGTGAAAAAAACGTGAACAAGAAGTTCTAGTAATTATCTTCCATTTGAAGCTCAACTTTCGAATATAATTATTACATATGAATATCGAAACGAGAATAGCATAATACAGATAATATAGTAGAGTCGGTGAGAACTGTTTTAAATCAGCAGCTTATCTCTCTAATATATTTTCAAGCTCATCAGACCTTCAACGCGAAAGTGTTTGCCATGCCGTGAATAAAGGACAGCGATTCAATTGTAAGAGTCCGGCAAGGTGAAATACAACGCAAATGGAACGGTCACGCCTTCAGCTATGACGCAGCTTTTAAGGCTGTTACCGATCGACCAATGAGAGCAACTGAAGCTCTAATACCTAGGGATCGAAGAGAGCACGTGAGGTGGGTTGGACTTTTTTTGCTGGGCCCCATGATGTTCTGTCTTTGCCTGTTTCAACAGTATTTGGGAAAGTTTCAACTATATGTGACAATTATAAATAATAAAATGTCATGTAATGCCAAGAGGGATATCAATATATCCGTATTGGCCATCTCAGCGTCGCAAAGGGTGTTATCAGTGGTGTTAGTTAGGTGTTCTCTCTCCCTGATGGCGTCCGTTAGGTATTGTTCAGATATCCCGTCCTTTTGC